ATTATATGAATTAAAAATAGATAATGACAACATAAAGAAATGTTTCCTTTTATCAGTCCTGTAGTGCAGTGAAGCCAACAGGTTCAGATATTAAGAGACCCGTGGTGAATTTAGTCCTAAGAAAAACTCTATTGTATGTGAAGTGGGGAGTGCGGCTGAAATCTTAATCAAATCTATAATTATAGGGTAAAAATAGAAGCAAATTACCAGAGTTTACAAAGAAATTCAAAACAACCAGAAAGAGAAATGGAAGATTTTGGAGTTCTTGACATTCAAACACTTTATAGTATTGGTTGTTAAAACTCAGACTTACTGAACAAACTCCTTTTCCCTTGTGAGCACAGGCCAGAGGATAGAGGCAGTGATATCAGCTGCAGTAGAAGCAGAAAACTTGGTTAGTTCAAGTCATCCTAAATCAAATAGAAAAGAGAAGATTCAGCACTTCTACTCAGCCACTGGAGAACAGAGTCAAGTGCATAGTGCTGACAGCCCTGCAGAAAGGAATATCACAAAGCTACTACAGCCACCAGTTAATAGTGAAACACTGCACCATAGAGATTTGGAAAATCAATGCTACGAAGAATTGAATATTCTTCCATATATGTTTATTTAGAAGAATGTAAAAGAATTTTATTTATTAATGAATTTCCCCAAACAATTTACCACCCTAAATTTATGTGTTAGTTTCCTATTGCTGCTGTAATAAATAACCACAATCTCAGTGGTCTAAAACAACACAATGCCATTGTCTTACAGTTCTGGAAATCAGAAGTTCACAATCATTCTCAAGGGGCTAAAAATCAAGGTTCCCGCAGGGCTGGTTCTTTCTAGAGGCTCTGCAGGGGGATCTGTTCCCTCACCTTTCCAATCTCTAGAGGCTCCTTTGGATGGCAGCCCTTTCTCCACATGGCAAGCACATTGCTCTCATCTCTGTTTCCTCATCATGTCTCTTCTCTGATCTTCCTGCCCCTTGTAAGTACCATTGTGATTACCTCAGATAATCTAAAATAATCTTCCTGTCTCAGGGTCCTTGACTTAATTCCACCTTCCATGTAATGTACGGTAGTAAACACACGGGCTCTGGGGACCATAATGTGAATATACTGATGAGACCACCTTTATGCAGATTAGTATTGTAGAATCCAGGTACACGTGAGAAGGGATAAGAAAATGAAGATAGCCTCCCATAACAATGAGAAATATTATTGCTAGGAAATTCCTTCAGACCTTTCCAGTAATTGTTATAGTTTTGAGCTAGCAAGTAAAAAGCATAATAACAACCTGTGAAAATAATATAATTCAGTGTCTAAAGATCTGGACATGTTTTTCAAGAGGAAAATTCTCCACTAATAAATAGCTGTGAAGAAGCAAAATACATTTTCGCTTGTAGAATAGATGGATGCTTTATTTAGGAAATAAAGCCAACAGCATTAGCAAAATAATCCAGTCCCCATAAGGCCCAAAGAACCAGCCCTGACAGCTTCCGCAGGAGCACAGTGAGCAGTCTTAGCCTTCCACTCACCGGAAGAAAGACTCAGCGTGAAGCTCTTATAACCTCCACAAAGTGCAAAATCATATTGAGGTCATCGATATGCTGCTAGAAAAAAGAATGCAAGGGAAGAAGTCAATGGATCCAAGAGTTTGATATATTGAGAAACAGGGAACCAACTGGGGCTAGCGTTTTTGTCCTTTCTGTAACACAGATAAAACCAGAAACCTGCAATTACACACCGTTGGTGGCCTTCTGGCTGAAAAGCATCTCAGTGTGAGAATTACTAAAGGCCTCTTCCCTAAGAACGAGAACCAAGAGACAATCCGGCATTTCAGACAGCATCATTTCTTTAGGAGACAAAGCTGGGGAAAAAATAAAGTCACCTGTGACTAAAGATGAAATCGACACTGAAACAAAGACTGAAATGAGTGAAAATATTTCTAAAATATCTTTTCATAAATGCATGGGCAAAGTCAGAAGACATGTAAGAAAGACTTAAGTCGCCACCTCTGTGTGTATGGATGGGATCACCGCACATTTTCATTTTTTTGTGTGTGAAAAGTGTCTACATATCCTCAGCCAAATAGCACCAACATTGTAATGAATGACAACTTTAGTTCACATCTATTTTAAAGGATATGGATGTTCATTTCTATGAGATTATTGCTCTATGGGAAAGCAAGTAGAAAAACAAAAGCAATTTTAATATGTGTATAGGTATAACATTGCCTATGATGTCCATGAAATATTTAACAACGACTTTATGTGACCTTGAAAGAAACGGAGGATTGATACGAGGGCAGGCCATGGAGTCAAATTGAGGACTGAATTCCAGCTCCGTCACTTAAAACTTTTAAAACCCAGATTCCTCATTTGTAGAACACAATTAAGACCATATTTAAAATAAAAAACAGGTTACTTGAACATTGTGAAACACTTACATAGTGCTTGGCACATTGAATACTTGAAAAGAAACAACAAGAGTAGCTGTTACTAACACCAAGTAATGAAACAAAAGCATAAGTAAGTAAATGAGTTAAAACATTACTTCATAAATTCAGAACAACAACTATGTGTTTAGTCAGTACCTGAAACAAATATATAGCTAATTTTTGGACTTTAATGAAAGATTTTTAAAGACTTTCTAGTATAAAGCCTTATTAAATAAAATAGTTTAAAAAACAGCCCATAGCTTTAAACACATTTTTGCTTCCATTTTTTTCATTTACCATTATGATACTGATGTGAATAGTGAAAGTGAGCATCTGGAAATGTACTTAATTGTCCTATGTATTGTGAATCTTTTTTTTCTCTGTGTATTATAGGAAATGGTAATAAAGTTGGATAGCTGGAAAACACTTCAATATAATTATTCTAATTTTCTCATTTAGCTCAGAATACAGAAATATTTATTCCCCGGTTGCCCAGACTGAAAGATGGAGAGTCAACGTGGCGTCCTCAGCCTTCTGATTCCCAGTCCCGGGCTCCTCACCCAGGAAGGGAGCTCCAAGCACACAAAAATAGTTAACAAGGATAGTTTTCAGTTACAATGTGCCACCCGAAGACTATCTTTATTATGTTTTGTGTGCATGGTAGACAAGAGCACTAAGTATTCCCACAGAACTAACTCGGATGGGTGCCTTTGAAGATTTGTTTGGATGCTTCATTGAGGAGCATAAGTTGGAGTATTTATGTCTCTTCCTTCCTCTACAAAATATTGGTCAAAGTATTATTTAAGACATTGCATCAATTAAGACAGTGTTTGTTTATTAGATTCCACATATGAGTGAAATCATATGGTATTTGTCTTTCTCCAATTGGCTTATTTCACTTAGCATAATGTTCACCAAGTCCATCCATATGGTTGCAAAGGGTGAAATTTTCTTCATTCTTTTTATGGCCACGTAGAATCCAATGTGTCAATGGACAAACTGAACTAACAAGCAAAACAGAGACAGACTCATAGATGGAAAGCAGATGAGAGCCAGTGTGGGGGGGATGTTAGGGGATGGAAGGATTGAGCAAAAAGGAAAAAGGGCTCATGGACATGGACAACAGAGTGGAGACTGCTGGGAAAGATGGGTATAAAGTAACTAAATAGTTATGAAAAAATACAATAAAGATTAAATTAAAAAATAAAGACTTTGTTTCCCCAGTATATTGAATTGGTTTAAAAATACATACCCACCGAACCAATTTCTCTCCCTCTCTCCTTCCCTTCCCCTCTAAAGATAAATAAATAAAATCTTTAAAAAAAAGTACTAGAGGAAACCTTGGCATAATTTTAAAAAAAATACATAATGCTGTTCTAAGAATTGGGTTTCCAAAAATATTGACCCAGAGTTTTCAGATACACTGCAATACAAACCCTCTGTCTTTACCTTATTTTACTGGTCTCTTGGTAAACAGATATTCACAGAAGACAATAAACTTGTCAATATATTATTTCTTAAATTATATTAAATGTCTTCATTATTTCAAATACAGAGATCAACTTAAAATCAATTATGAGTTTAGAGGACGTTCTGGAAAACACATAAGTACGTCTGTAATAGTGTTCAAAATTTGCTGACATTTAATATATTTTCCAAGTGTTCTTCATTATATTATAAAAAATGAAAGCAAGTTCAGCCCTAGTCAGTGTATCACAGTTGGTTGGAGCACGACTGAAAGGTTGCAGGTTTGATTCACAGTCAGGGCACACACCTATAGGTTGCTGGTTCATTCCCAGGTCTGGGCAGGTATGGAAGGCAACCAATCTATGTTTCTCTCTCCCTTCCCCTTTCTCTCTAAAAGCAATGAAAATACTATGCTCAGGTGAGGACAAAATAAATAATTTTTCTAAAGTCCAGTTATGTGAAAAAATTAACATTTGATACTTGAGATTTAAGGTATTTCTCTAAAAGACTGTGTATGAGGTAAACAGTTACTACACAACACAAGCCTTCCTTTCAGGTTTTTTTTTCTGGAAAGGGAGTCAGGGCCATTTAGCTACAGATTATTACCAAATCTTCACATTGATCTTCAACATTTCTTTGAACTTCCTAAGGTAATTTAGAGATCTTTGAAAGAAGAAGGGAAATTTATTTTAAGGATCTGGGGCAGCTGTGAATTTCTCCTGTCTTTAAAGAAAACAAAGCCACAAAGAACACTCTCATTCAGAGGACCTATTTAGATCCATATCTAATTTTGTGCTGGGTCCAGTTTTGACTTTACAATGTACGAATCTAATCTAAAAAGCCTGGGCCAAATGAACTATTTAAAAAACTAGTATATATCTCATTTACATCTTTATCTATATTTTTATTTTTATATTCATACATCTATTTTTTAAATTTATACCTATTACTCCCCTTTTCCAGCCAATGCCTCCTTCTGATATCCCTATTTCTGCCCTGAGTGGGGCACGGAGGAGGACCTGGATGGGACAGGAGGAGCTGCAGTGACAGGTAACACAGCTCTAAAACTGTCCTGGGCGAAAAGGTGAGGAGGGAACAGGATCACAGAGCATTAGAAACCAGACCAGCCAAAAAAGGATGCAAGAGCAAGCCCCAGAGCAGTTTCACTTCCTTCGGGTGCCCTGCAAAGCTGAGCCCGGTCCTGCGGCCTGAGTGCTGGAGCTGCGTTGCTGCGGAGAGCGAGGCCCCAGAGACCACCAGCGCGCGAACTTCAAGTCCGGAGAGCCGAGAGCTCTGCGGCACCAGTCTGCAGGCGCCTTGGCTTCAGCGACGCGATGCTGCCCGCAGCCCCGGGAAGAGCGGGAGGGGGCCGGGAGCGGCCCCCCGGCGGCCCAGCGCCCCCAGGTGGGTGGGCGCATGTTCGGGACTCTTGAGCTGGAGGCAGCCCGCGAGTCTCAGGGGCTCCGCGGAGAAGGAGGACCATGCGGTCCAGTGAGGGGACCAGGGTTGCCCACTTTCCCCCATCTCTGCCTGCCGGTCCATCTAGCAGCCCGGCTTCTATGCTGGGAATTTGGACGCGGCCAGGCGGGAGCGCAATCTGTGTGCTGGCCAGTTCGCCAAGGCCAGTGTCTCTAACTTTCCTTTAACTGGATCTTCGCGGAGCACCCGGGACAGAGTCCTCCAGTTTCTAAAATCACCTTGGCACGTGTTAAAGGGGTGCAGGTGTTTTAAAGTTAGGCATAATCCTAAAAGTTCTGCCCACATGTTACAGCAAAACCCCGTTTGCCATTGCCCTGTTTGTAGCATCCACCGTTTACTTGCTCTGCCTTACAAAATCCAACCTGGAAAACTGCTAGGATGGATCGTGACCTGCTTATCTGGCTAATGTGGAACCACTTCCCCTGCTAATTTGTTCAAAGGAAAAACTGTCAACTTCTTTGAATACATAAACGAATTTACAGGTCAAATAGACACCAGGGCATTTGTAGTCTGTTCTTTTTGAAGTATTTCAAATGCATTTGTGAACTTTATAATATTATAAAAAATGTTCAGTTTTGTTTTTTTTTTCCAAAAAAAGCCTTCAGTTTGGTGTTAAGATAACTGGATATGGTCACAGTGAGAAGTGCACAAAGAAGATCTGAGTAAAATTTTATGAATCTGTTCAATGGATTTTCTCATAACTTCCTAGAATTTTTCAGGTATTAGAGTTTTGGCTTCAGTTGCTTCTCTTGGTTAGTGTATGTTTTCATACATAAAATTTAAAAGACTGGCTTTCAGTTAAAATGGGAAGTACATTTGTGACAATGGAAAATGGCAAGAAGGGAGTTGGAGCCCATGATCTCTCCATGTGTCAAGTTTTAAGTATTGAACATCGACACATTGAAAGCTGTGGCTTTGATGGAGGGCATTGGAGCAGCCTTTGCTAGTTAGCATCTGTCAACAGCTGGCCAGGCTGCTGGCCGAGTGCAGGTTAGCTGTTTTGTAAGTTCAGCTTGACAACTTAGTTACATGGGATGAACTACAATTTGTCTTAAACTTTTAGATTGAGCATGTCAGCCAGAAAATGACCTTTATTTTACTTGTACTCAAGTAATATGTTGAGGTACTTGCTATTATGAATAATGCCAGAGTGAATAATACCTTTTCTCTTTCTGATTATTCCCTTTCCTTCTCTGCACTTGTCTTCATCTCCTTTCATCCTTCCCAATATGGTACTTATCACTTGCTTTATTTACCTCCTTATTTGACCAAAATAATGAACTTTGTCATGTAGTGAGCTGTCTTTTGATATTAACCCAGGCCCTTTCCTAGATATGAGTAGTCTTCCAAAAGAACTAGTGCAGGTTAATCCTTTTATTAAGTGGATTGCTTTATTAATCAATAATCAAGTAATCCACTTAATAAAATGGGATTGCTTTCTGCTTTGGGCATCTCGATAGGCTTTGCTTAGGGGTCAGTCCACCTTCTTCATTTTAGAAAAGAGAAAACTGAGATGCAAGGAGTGATTTCCGCATAGTCCCATAATTAGTTATTTGAAGATCATCCATTCATCCCTTCACCAACAATCTATCACCCCGTAAGAGCTGTGTGGTAACAGAAATGTAAAACGGCAAAAGCAATCTAGCACGGTGAACGTGATTTCATGCCTGTGAAGGTTTTTCTGGCGTTGGGTGTGCACTGCACTTGTGGTGACGTCTGTGTGCACTGCCATCAGAGATGTCTACAAGTGTCCCCTTTGTCCTTTAGTGGGGCCCCACACTTAAACAATGTAAAAATGATTCACAGTGGAGACAAATTGTATTTAGACTGTATTTTGTGATTTGTGTTGAATTAGATACTATCCGCCAATGTCCAAAAGAGAAATTATCCTTTTGCTTCATTCCAAAACTAGTGATTTTAAAATTTAATTTTAACTGCTACCTTCAATAAGAACTGGATAAGTATTAAAGCACAGATTATTCCCTATGCTATAGTTTTTTTTGTTTTCATTAATATTATTTGATGTCTCTAATGAAGAGAATGAAATAAATCAATAGCTTAAAAACAGGGAGTTTTACCATGTGCTTACCATGTTTATACACAGCCTGTGAGGAACGTGGTCTCTCTGGGTCTCTCTCCTCTGTCTTGAATTTCTCGAAGATTCTGAAGCTTTTTACATTGACTACACTTTTCCAACATAGTCAACAACCTAGGTCTCAACCTAGATTTCTTCTTCTAAGGAGACACCCTGATTCTGATTCTACTTGCTGGCTGGTAAAACTTGCTTTCTTCAGACCAGCTGGGATGATCCTGATAAGACTAATGTTGCTGAGATTTTAATGATGCAGTTTCTAAGGGCATTTTCACTTGGATATGAGATAATTCTGTAATATCCAATTGCTTAAGAATTAAGATTTAAACAGTAGCATATTTGGTGTTAGACTTGAGGTAGCAGAGGAAACTTTTTGCCACATCTATCTGAACACATATTGTAGGTGACTGTGCCCGCTTATAATTACCTCGCAGCCAGTCTAGCATCATTGCTTATCCACTCTGTGATCTAGGGTGAATAACTCAATCCATCATAATTTTTAGGCCATTGGTCAGTAGTATCATATTTGCATATAAAATCTAGAGTTCTTGTCGGGGAAGCTGATCATGTTAATTTAGGAGAAACTTAAATGAATGAAGTCACCAAACTCCCACATAAAAAAAAAATTGAGAATATATCTTCCCGTTGAAAGACACTTTCTCTTCCTTAGGGAAACAGTGTAGTTAATAGTTCTGAGGAGAGGGAAAAAAGTCTGCAATGAAAGGAGCTATGAATAGGTTGATTAAAATGGTATTAGACTAGGACGGTTACAGGAAAGAATAAAACGGAAATTAAATAGGACAAAATGAGATTTTCCTAGATCACAGGGTACCAGCTGTGACCCAATTTAAAAAATATACATATGTGAAAAAAACAAGCATCAAACAGAAAATTGTGGGATACTTTGTCAAATTATAAGAAGATGGAGAATCTATTTTATCAAAATATTACTATTGGGTTAAAATAATCCAATGTGAAGTAAAGAAAAACCCTGTCAAATATAAATCACATTTTGAGTGTAAGTGGCACTTACCTGATCATCTAAGTTACAGTTGCTGTTTTATCAGTTTCTTTACATATTAGAGAATGTATTACAGTAGTTTTACAAATAGCTAAGAAATAAAAGTAGGGAGAGCAAACATTTCAGAAATTATCATTGAAAAATAAGTTGTTATATGACCTTAGAATTCTTTTGCTTGTTTTAAATATAGAGAATAGTTTCAAAGTTTTACTGCAGACATTCATTTAGTCCAAATGGTGAAAATATCAGATAATGTATGGAGTTATACTGCTCCTGTACTTATTTTTCACTCAAAGAAAAACAGTGAGCCATTTAGACATTTACCACTGGACAGAAATTTCTTTGTTGCTTCCACGTGCTCTGCATTGAAATAATCCAGAAGGACCACTTCCGTTTGTAATTATGGAAAGTAATCCATCAATGCCTGTGGTGTTTTATAAGATTTCCTTTGTGTCTAGTTAATTAAAATGTTATGTTTTGTCATACAAATTATGTGTCATATTTTCCTTTCCTTTAAGTTCCTGTACCACTTTTCCATATTGGTAATTCCCACTGCTTCATGTTTTATGTGATCCATTTTATAAGACATAATGAAAAGTACAAGAACAGTTCTTGACTTAGAACTCCATTTACTATTTGCCTTTTTTTGGGGGCGGTCATAATCCTTGCTAAGGATGAACCACCCTCCTTTGGTCAGGATCAATATTCTCATCCTTTTTTTTGTACCAGTTTACCCATAGGATCAAGTCTAACATTCAGAAGAATACCATAGTGTCAGGACCACTTGAAATGCTGGCCTTCTTTTAAGAGCTACCATTTATTGTGTTCCCACTTTGAATTCATATAATATGGATATCACATTACCTTGATAAGTGAGAGCCTCAGAAGATTAGCACCCAGTTTGGACAAAATGTTGTATTGTTCAGTGTAGTCATATGAAAATACTGAATAATTCGCTGTGTTCTTTCACTTCCTGCAAAAACTTTTCTAAACTGTTGAAGCTGTAACTCCTAAGTCTCTGTGTCTTTTATGAGGGGAGGAGTGGAAGGTAGAAAAACACCCACACAGCAAAGATGTACAGAAACATTCCATATCAAAGTGGTACGATTCTATGAAATCATGTCACTGGGATGACAAATTGTAAAGTACTGTATTTTACCATGTATAATGCTCACCCATGTTTTTGCGCACATTATATGTGGGATACCCATTATTATAATGGCATGTAATCATTATACCCATGTATAATGCACATCCTTGTTTTTCCCTCAAAAATTTGGCAAAAAAGTGCTCATTATACAAGGCAAATTATTATTATTTCTTTATGACTGTATGAAGAATCCTTAAAGTTTATGCATTTTCTATATTAGTTGATCACATTTCATTTATACATAATAAACTGATATAGTTATAAATTTCCAGGAGATAACTGCAATTTTAGTACAATTAGTGAATGACTAGGTCATTATTGAAAAGTGAATGAGTTAAAAATTTAGACAAACTCTACATTGATTTTATATAATGAGATAATTTTCTTAATTCTCACATTGTTTTTCAATAAAACTTTAGAGCTTTCACTACTCCAGGCACTTATTTGTAGGCAGAAGACCCTTCCCTTACCATGTCCTGCCCATCAATACTCATGTAAAGGGTAGAACCGTGTATCACCCAGGTTCACCAAAACAGTCCCTTGGGCCAAGAGTAGGTGCTTGATTCTAAGGTGGGCAGGTCAGCCACTTGACTGATTCATGACCAGTGATGGAGGTTGTCTGACTTTTGCAGATTTGTTGAACTCACTGAAGTCTTTTTTTT